CACGAAATGATGTCTGTGTTGCGTCAACATGAACAGACTCTTTGCTGTTGCTCATTTTGGACACACTGCCGCCAATGTTTTGGCCACATACACAATGTTGGGGGTTCAAGATGCTTGCGTTCTTGTATGCTTTTTCCTCTTCCGTGTTGCGTTGTCTCGCACAGGGGGGGCTTGGGGGGGGGGCAAGATGCCTGCGTTCTTGCTTCTTTTTCCTCTCACGTTTTGCGTTGTCTCGCACAGCGGGGGTTTTAGGGGGGGCCAAATGCTTGCGTTCTTGTCTCTTTTTCCTCTCCCGTTTTGCGTTCCATCTGTCTTTTGTCTCCTGTTTACGTTTGTATGTTAATTGATCTGCTTTGAAACGTGAAGGTGGAGGTTCTTGGACGAAACCTTTTAGGACGTATGAGTCCTGCAATGGCACGTGTGAACCAATTCGCTGTTCGTAGATTGTTGTCGCAACCTGGACTGAATACAGTGTTGCAAGCTTTCAAAGACCCATCCGAATACCTGGACATCAAAATAGATTCCAGTTGGCTGTGGCAATGATTTCTCAGAAAAAAAATAGGAAAAGACCGGTTGCAGCCCATTCTGCTTGTGTTTAGCATCCTTGCCGGCGCGCCCAACCACAGCGTCGAGGCGTTGTTTTTCAAACGGTAACGATTTGGTTTTTGTAGTATAAAACCCTAGGGTAAAACAATGGTGCTTCGGGATTCAGGCTATTAAAACAATGGTGGTTCCACTTCTAGGGTGTTGTACTATTTGATTCCGGCTGCTTGCAACTGCCCCAAACTCATCGATCAAACGCTTCGTAGGCCTGAATACGTAGACCTCTTGGCTGTCTGAAGCCTTTCCATGTACAAGTCTGCTAGATTTCACCAGTAAAATTAAAAAAAAACTGTAAGTTCAGGTACCAGGACCCTCCAAGGGGTGTCTATTTATAGCCCCTTAGCTGTTAAGGGGTCTCCATTAACCACCCCTTTGTGACCGCTGGTAGGTAACCATCAAACCACGTTGGCCGTTGATCGGTGCACGGACCTTGGCGGTTCCGAAACCCGCATCATCTGACCGCCGCAGATCCACTCGCTACGGATGTGGCAGCGGTGGTGGCATGGTGGTGGTGGCGTCGTCGTGGTGATGGCGATTCAACACGGGGGTAAAGAGAGGGCCGAGAGGTAACAGTTGTCTATACTGGACTTATGATCAGCCTTGACTCGATGGTGGGCAGAGTTCTCCGCAATGATCATTGGGGGGATAAATTCGCCAAAAACAAAGCAAGAACATGAAATAAATTGCCAAACACATTGGGCTGAGCATGAAACCAGTGCCTTTGCCTTCGATTCGATGCTGAAGACAGTTAATCACCCCGACTACCCTGTCATTCAAATTTCATTCAAAACAAACATGCAGTCTTGCTGCACTAACTGTATAGATGATTCCAAGAAGCTGCAAGCTGGCACTTCATTAATTATTCAACAATTTTCGCAATTTTTTTCAGGTTCAAAAGTCAGTGCATGTTCCAAAGATCACACTCTTCGGATCCGTTTCTTGATTCTACTGTATCTACTTGCTCACACCCTAGTTCTTGTCTGAAATGCACCTTTTGATGAAGACCCCAGAGCTCCGAAAACGTGCGCCGTCCTCGCCGTGCGCCAAATGGAGCCGCAGCTGGCCCTCCGCGCCGCCCTCCGCATCCAACAGCAGGCCGAAGAGGAAGTCACTGGAAACGGCCGGGGCGACTCAACAGAAGGTTCGGTCATCAAACCCGCCAATGTTTGAGGGGGTTTGGTGTGGATTTGAAGGGTGAGTCAGTGGTAGCAAATTGATGGATGTTTGCTTCAGAGGTCTTTTTGAGACCAGGGGACCTTATTAGATCTGAATTCATAGCGGGGACCATTAGGCTTGGGAAGCCCAACGGATTTGCCCAATTCGATGACTGAAGGACCTGGTGTACAACTTCTGAGATACCAAGCTCCAGGGCCAGGTCACCACCAGGACCTTCCAAGCCTGGTGGAATTCGAACACCCCTTGATACCCGACTCGCCTCTAAGGACCCCAAAATGTTTGGACACCCCGAACGGAGGGTCCTCGCAGTGGTTCCAAAGACGCACGAACCACAGACCGAACGAAGTCCTGGTTCCTGAAAAAAAAGAAGTGGATACGTGGGATCTTCTGGGAAGCTTTCCATAGGGGCGACCCAGACATCCCCAGATCCCCATGGCTGCTCCGCTAGCTGCAAGGAGTCACACAAAGCCCTGGTTTTCCATTAGCTAAATGACAGGTAAAGCAGGTCGGTCCATGTTGTTCATCAAGGTATCCATAGCGAATCAAACATCATGAACTGGGTAACTAAACTGGCTTTGATCTATAGGGCAAAGCCAGATCTTTGAGGGTATCTTTCTGTATCTTTGCACCATTCGACAAACTTGGAACTGACCCGCTCAACGAAACGAAGATAATCAACCATCACGAACAGTGTTTTGTTCATTCTCTATCCCTGCCAAATACTACTCCATCGGACTGGAATAAACAGTGACCCAGTTTCAATGTCAATTGAAACACACATATTGGCAGTCCTACTAAAAGTCGTGTCTGGGTAGACTTCACACTTATAGTAGCCTTTGGTATACATCCCTTTACCAGGGGCCTAGTGGATGATCATGGTCAGGTTGCAGGCAGGCCTTTCCACCTCTAAAATCGTGGATATTTCATTATTAACTGCTTAATGACGGACTCTTAATTACAGGTGTACTGGGACACCCAGAAGATACCGCCTCTAGCCTGTTGATTCATCATCCCCTCCCCATTTAGATGGTCAAGAACACCTGTTTGACCCGGCTGGCCGTGCTCGCTTCGCCCGCCTGCGCCACACGCGACGGTCTCGGACCACGAGGCGGCCGTGCTGGGCGCTCAGCCACTCGCCTGGTCCGGTGGGTCCAACGGGGGTGGGATCTGATGGACCGACGAGGTCGCGGGATGGACGGGTGGTCTTCATAGGCTGGATGGAGCTGGAAAGAAACAGAGCAGATATATTCACCAGAGGGGATTCACATGGATTCACCCAGTTCGGGAGAACTAAAGAATCACCCTTTTGCAAAAGCAATGGAAAAAAACACAAACAAGGGCGGCCGGGTCCTTTCTTGGATGAGGTATCATTTTATGTGGAGGCTGAGGGGTCATGATTCCCTTGTTCCCTACCCGCGGTTGTCTCGGGACTGCCATAGGACTGCCGATCAGTTGGAGATTGATGTCTTTCAGTCTCATGGAGTGTCTAGTCTGGGTAAAGAACTTTCTCAGCCAGCTATGGCGAGAGGTGATACCATGCCACCATCTCCATTATCTCCAACGGGCCAAAAGATCCCAGAGTAAGAGGTTTGGTGGTCCCCAAATAGATAGAATTCAACGGTTTCCAATACATTTGGAAAGGGATTTTACTTTACTACCTATCTACTAGGGGGTCGACCTATCATATCCTTAAAAACCATTGAAATACAACTTTGCCAACTTTGTAGGGCCGGCCTGCCATGGAGAGGGTCGCACTTGTCCAAAAACGTGGCAGCGGGGAGTCTCTTGCAGTTCTGCAACCCTGGTGTGTGATGTGTGCCACGCCACACGCCACCCCGCACACTTGATTGATTCTTTATCGAGTATATAGTCATATAGTCACTATTCCTCAATATTCAACATATCCCGTATTTGGTCGCGCCTTCTTGCAGCTGCTGCTTCCAACTGCAACAAAAACCCTCAAGACCTCTTTGCTCCTCAGCCGCCTAGCTCCGCGTGGGGCTTCGTTGCTCCAACCGCCGCGGGACCCGCCGCGGGACCCGCGCCTTCCAACGCGGCGTCCGACGCGAGCTCCGCGTCCGCTGCGTCGCCGACGCTGCCGAACGCCCAGGGTGGTGCCGCGCTGCTCGGTTCGGGTGCAGCATGGAGCTTCGGCGTCGAGGGCGTCAAGGGCATGTGGTGATTCCAAAGACGGTCGGGTTGGGTCTTTCGTTGTTTTTGGAGCGATTTTGAGAGTAGAATCAGCTTCTGAAATGCGGTAGCGAAGTGTTGTCGGCTTCTTTCTTCTTGTTTGTTGATGGTCATTGAGCCGCTTGAGTCTGAGTCGTACACTCTTTCTCGTGACTTGACGGTGTTAACATTCTGGTTCATTGGACCCGCAAAACCTGTCAGCCATTAGCAGCTTAGCATCAATCCCCCCAAAACAGGGGGGGCAAAGAAAGCAACTGCTTGTCTTGACTTGAGTTCAGGAACAGATCCGGGTTTCCAAAGGTTGTGGCAATGACTGGAGTGTGATGCAGTTGCTGCTTGAGACTGAGTGGCCACGAACTTGCTTTCTAGTGATGTCCGCACGTGACCCCCGGTGTCTCGACACCCGGTACATCTTCAAGTTCTACCATCGAATTCCTCGTAGCGTCCGATCGCTCCGTTCGTTTCGATGCCCTTTGCTCCGTTCGTAGCGAACATTGCTCCTAGTAGCTGATGCCAGGAGCCCCTAGTAGCTTCTTGTTACTAGTAGTAAGGCCCAACTCAAAAACTTCCAAGAGAGGTTTTTTGAGACCAGAACTAGGACCCTGGTCTGTGGTACAGGATGGGCGCCAAAGAACTGTTCAACCTCTCTTGGTCAGAGAGCCTGTGGCCTGTGGCTTTCCACCTGTGGGATGAACAGATCCGTTGCCTGGTGCCACACCGGTCCAGTCATGAACGGACGTTTCGCGCCCTGGAGTCGAGAAAGATCCTTGTTCGTTCGTGATCCGGTGAACCCAAGGAACTCATCGGTTAATACGACGGTCCAATCCTCGGGTGTACAAATGCGTTGGGAGCCCCGTTCTTTTCCCTTCGTTCGCCCAACTGGAAAGGTTTCCTTTGTTCAAGGCGCTTCGTTCGGTTCCCAAGAAGGGTGACCTGGCGACGATGAAAGTCACCTGCGATGAAAGTCCTTCCACCCACGATGAAAGCACCGACTCGACTCCCATTCGATGAGTCGAAGAAACCGCCACCGCCTTTCACGTGGATCGCGCCCAAACAGTCAAAGGACAACTTACTCCTTAGCGAGTAGAAGAGCCGGAGGCGGAAAAAACATCAACTCACAGTGTCCTAATCTTCCAGCAAATAGAAGCTCATGATTTTATAAGTCAATGACCTTGCTTATGTTCCTGGAGTTGGTCATGCAACAACACTACGTACTCAAGGAGTTGCCTGTGGGGTCATGGCACCTTGGTTGACCTACCGATATGGACTGGTCCAACTCCCTCGATGGTGGACTGGTCCTTTGCTTCAGGTGTCATGACCCTCTCCCCATAGGGGTTACGATTGGGTCGATGCGTCGGAGATTTGGTCTTTGTTACAGTCCCCTAACAATCCAAGCACCTTCTCAGAAGGTGATTGGAGACACTGTTATGTAGGTTTGGAGGGTCCAAGTACCTTCTGAGAAGGTACTTGGATCCCTAGGTGTCCTTGGATATCTTGTAGGCGGAAGCAAGGCATGACACTGAGGTTCTGAGATTGCCTTAACCATCCGAAGAGGAAACGTCATTTGGGCCTTACACTTGAGAAGTCCGGCCAAACCTACCCGATCGAAGGCTGTGAGGCTGGAGATGGGGAGGTATGGCTGGAAGATCTACCAGAACCCTCCAGGTCTGGTCTCCGAAATGGTGGCATTTGGAGACTTAAAGTGGCAGGAGGTGACCTAGCAGGTTTCGGGTCCAGGTATAGATTGAGTATCATTGAGTTCTATCTGAGCCTTTTCAGTTCTTCTTGAATTGCGCAAAACACGTTCACCAATTTGGTACCTGACGGGACGTCCCAGGCACAACCCACCAATTCCGTAATCATTTGGCGAGAAACAATCGACTTGGGAGTTGTCCGAGTAACACCCATGGTGTGAGTTCAACACTGTCCAACAAACATTTGGTGACTATCGGTACATAATCCCTTTGCTGCGTGAAACCTTGATGGTGTCCATTGTCTTTGCTCCAACTAAACTAGCAATCTAAGAAATCAAACAGATCCGAACAGTATTCAACGTAATTCAACAACATGTTGTCTCCTGTGGATCGACCATGTACAAACGCATTGGTCCGCAGATCCTCTTTCAAGCGATGTTTGAACCCAAATCCGAAACGACATCACGAGACGTGTTGAACCTACGAGACATGTTATACAGTTCAACATGAAATCACAGGGGGGCCACACATATCTCATGTTGAAGGTTTGGATATGTCTTTCCCCACTTGAAATATAGGTGTGGAATGGTTTGGATGTCTTCAGTCTTCATGCCGATGCCTCACTCGCTTCACTCGGTTGTCTCTGGCGGCCCGGCCGGCAAGACCGAAAGGTCTCCTCGGGACCCGCCCGAGGTCCCGCGGTCCGTCCGTCCCGGGCGGTCCGTCCGGAGTCCGGTTGAATGGCCAACTCCGTCTCCGTGGTAGGGTCCCTTACTGGAGGAGTCGTGTGAACTTGTATGAGCAATTCCAGGGACTTGGAGGTGATTGACTTGTAGGGACCCTCTCTCCAAAAAAACGGATATGGAATTTGTGTTTCATTGTTTTTTAGCCTTCCGGTTGCAGAGGAACATGGTTGCAGGATGTTCCAGGGGCCTTGCGAATCCACGTAACCACGATTGTTGGAGGGTATAACATCTACGGGGAGAACACCAAGGGTATCCAGGAGACGTTCCCTTTCCCAGACCATCCATGTATGGAAGATATGCCAAGCCCTCAATGTGGGTCAATAGGTCATACATGGATGATCTGGGGTTATGACCGAATCACCACTTACGCCCTGGTGTCGACGATCCCATGGACCCTGAAAACCACGTCGGTTGGTAGAGGAAACCACTCGGACCCAAGGGGCCAGGACGGACCCGGGTCTATGTGAGTGGACTCGGGAATGTCATTTCTTCACCTGTTCTACCTCTCTGGTGGGGAAACCGATCCGAGAGGTAGATTGGACGCTTCTGCAAGTGATCCACGATCCCCTAGAAAGATCCGAAAAGTGTTTTCTGCAAATGATCCACGATTGGACGCTTTATGAGATCGCGAAGGGAGCGCCAATGAGACGAGGTTTCTTGGCACATGAGACGAGGAACAAAAAAAGAGAAGCAGACCAAAACACAGAGGAGCAACACTCAAAACATGCATAAACACAATTGTTTTGAACCCACACAAAACACCATGAAAGATTGTCTTGCCCATCAAAGTGAACAACTCATTAAAACGACGTTCTTCTCCTCGTTGCCATGAGTTTGCGGTCCAGGAAACCGGGGAAAAAAAACAACAATCTTCCCCACGCGGGACCGGAGATGAACACCCAGGAACCGGCAAAAAGAATTATCACACGAACGCGCTTCTGCACACAATACCCTCTATAAACCCGACAACTTCTGCCCACATTGTTTCGGGTGCGTCCCGTTGTTTCCCCCTGCAGCTTGGGAAGCATCCACCCCTGTGGCCTGAACCGAACGGCGGCTGAACCACCAGCTGATTTACTGCTTCGTATAATCCAACTCATTTTTCTATAACCTTGGTCTGCGCCAAGGGCAGAAGTATCAAAACGACCTTACGGCAGAAGTATCAGATGAAAGCTCATAAGCGACGATCATATTGCTTCAACATGACCAATGAACATGTCTATCTTGCAAATACTGACGTTCTATGTGGCCAGCATATATTTGTTCACTTCGCTACTCTGTAAGTTCCGTAGCTCTTGAACTTAGCTTCTTGATGCTACTTGTCTAAACATTCTAAACTAGTTCCGAAAGTTTCTACCTATATACACTGCATTGTGACTCTACTTCTTGCGATTTCAGACTACAAAGCCAGGCCCACCCATTCTCAACATGGGGAAATTGCTTCAGGGAACCCACCAATTCCACCTACCTCGGAAACCCACCACCCTCCCGACTCCTGCTGCTGCCGAACCGAACCACGGTCTCCAAGGGGCTGCGTCCACGAGCACGGTGTTTCGGTCCGTTTTCGCCATCAAGCGCGCAGACCTCGGAGGGAGAACCCCGGCGAACCCGGTGTGCATGTCTTCAACTTACCACCCTAACAATCCTTGGACCGCTGGGCAGGGGTCCGGACCCTCAAAACCCGATGTCAACGTGTTGGTTCAGGCCCGGATTCTTAGGGTAGATTAGGGTAACAAGCAGCTGGGAAGACATGAACATCTTCCCCTTCATCCGATCCGCTCCCGAAAACTCAGCGATGGACCAGTCGTGGTTTGGGCACCCTGTGTCCGACTGTTTTCCTTTACAAACCAGTTCCTATAGGGATCCAGTCGTACCTTCTCAGGTACGATGATGTGTTCGACACTGTGACATGTACTGTAGGTGCCAGTGTCGGGTCCAGTCGTATCTTCTGAGGTACGGTGGATTTGGATCCCTAGGTGGAGAAACAACTAGGTTTTATAGAAACCACAGGTCCCTAGAGGGTTGAACATCACAGAGGGTCCCTAGAGGGTTTTGTAAAGGGTCCCTGTGATGTTTTCAGCGAGAAACTAGGTGTTTCACTGGTCGATTTGGACGTGGCTTCTCGGTCGAAGTGGGGAGGGAGGGTCTAACCCCGGTTCAAAGGATCCCGGTGGCCACGTGTGAAGGAACCCGGACTTCTAGAGGTCCTGTGGTTTTATAGAAACAAACCTAGATCCTCCAACTGTGCCAAATTTCAGTCTTTTGGCTGGTTTTATAGATGGAACAGCATAAATTTGACACCATTGGAAGATCCAGGAATAGGTGGATTTCCATGGGTTTGAGACCCAATCCGGGCCAATGGAAAGGGTTGGGTTCGGGTCCAAAACCCCGGACTGGAACTGGAGCGTCCAAGGAGTCTTTTTCAGTGGGGGGATTCTTCTTCCCGGAATCCGCACCATTGATGCACCAGGTCCAACTAAAACAGATCGGATTTGGGTGGCACCCATGCGCTCAAAAAAACCCATGTGGTTGCCACGGTTTCTCTGGCCGGCAGCTGCTTCCACACAGCTCCCGCGGCTCACCGTGAGTCCTGCGCAGGTCCTCCGCTCCGAGTGACAAGTTCACCGTGTCCCCTAAGACGGTGTACTCACGCCGGATGGTGCTGCCCACGGTGCCTCGCAAGAATGAGACGCACAGTGTGAGGTGGGCATGGGTGCGGTGGAACTCCCAAGCTGTTTTTGCTGGAGAATAAAAGGTTAACCTTTTCCACCAGTCGATTCTTTAGTTGCAAAAAAGTTCCCTATGGATCCACATACCTTCCGAGAAGGTGATTGGAGACTATTTATGTGGGCTTGGAGGGTCCAATTAGCTTCTGAGAAGGTATGTGGATCCATAGGGGTTATATAACAGATGTTAAAAGGTTATCCACTGACTGACTGACATAGTGAATCATGATTCGAGTACACACCATCACGCTGAAGGAGTCGCCGATCATGGTTGAGAGGGGGGCTGACTCACCACACTCCTAGCCAGAGTGATGCATGGTTTCGCACTGTGCAACAAGAATGGATGGTGTAAGCTGGACAACATGGACTATTGGGAAGATGAGGGCTTCATCGTCTAACAGTTCAATCTAACGGTTCAATCTACTACCACCACATCATCAAGGTGTGGATCTGTCATTGTTTCTTCTCACAAAGTGATCCCCCGAAACCGAGAAGCCATCTATGTCACATCATGTCACTCCATGATTCCTTCTCAGTCAGTATGGTGGAGCTTCTTCTGCTTCATGTTCTGCAAGGGTGAGGTCCAGGTTCAGATGAGTCCTGAAAAGCGCAGCCTGGCATAGATGAATCCAGATGAATCCTGGGGCTCATATGGGCTCATCTTATCAGAAGAAGTGAACTGTTCTGCACACTCATCGTTGGAGTCGAGTGACTTCATCGAACAGGTGTAAACCAAGCAACCAGGTTTGCCAGCCATCCATACTTGCCCAACAAAATTCGAGAAAGGATCTGCACCCAGGTTTGCCAAAGTTTGGGGTGTATCACCCAAAACTCTCTTGGCCAAGTCGCCACACCACACAGTGCCGGTGGCCACTCCACATTGGCCCTCCAAGCCCTCTTCCGCCAGTGTGTCACAGAAGCGTGAGGCCGCTAAGACGGCACGGAGCCTGAAGGTGAGTGCGCGTGAGTGCGTTTAGTTGAAAGCCCCTAGGCTTCCTGGCCCAAACCGTTGATGTAACGGTATAATAGTGTTTTCCGAACTAACAACCATGGTTTTAGACAAACAAACCCGTGTCAAAGGTTCTTTTCATGGTCAAACGCGGCTCAATCTGAGGTACCGGCTTTGGGGCTTTTCACGTCTGGTCGCGTTTGGGTGGGTCTCAAGGTTCGATCCGAATGGACCCGACCGTCGGTGTCCCGACCATGGAACGCTGAGATCAGGTCGGGTGTCCTGGTCGTGTACTCAGTTATACCTCCAGAGTACCTTAGTACCTCCCAGTTCGGGAAAGTACCAGAAAGGTAAGCTCTTTGGGGCCTTAGTTCTTCACACTCTGCAAAAACCACTTTCATGCGTATCATATGTTGTGTTCTAATTTGTTGTTTTCTTTGTTTAAACATGTCAACTCAATTCTTTTGCCAAAGAGAAACACACACTTTCGAGAGGGTGGGGAACAAAAATAACTACAAACACTGCAAAATTTGAACGACATAAGGCCCCTCGAGGCTTAATGAGTGAAGAACTGGACTTGGCAATGCTGATATAACTGAAGATGCTGAAATTGATAAATCCATGAAGGCTGATGGGGTGGGAGGTCAAACGGTAGCCTTGGGATGGCTTTATGTTCAGATGGCACAAAATGAGATGTCAAAAGTTTGCCATTCCTACATATTGCTTAGCTGACCCCCGAGCCGTTTCCCCGGAGAATCAAGGTTAACCTTTTCCACCTCCTGGATATTAGTGGAGATGCCAATCCCCCGAGGACTGGCTACTAAAACAGGCCATCCACCGACTGGGTAGGACTCTGTGTAGTCTTCAACATTACACCCAAACACTCCGGTTCCCAGCCGCTCCCTCGCCCAGGGATGATGTCAGAACCCCTTGGAGCCCTCCGGATTCGGGTCCGACCCCCGACCGGTTCGGGCGCGTCGGGTCGCGTCTGGGCGACGTCCAGGGGGCGAAGGAACGCTCCAAGTCATCCGATGGAGACCCTGACGAGCCGGCCTTCCCGGAGACTCGTCGGACCCGTCGGACCCATGAATTGGCCAAAGCACGGATCATCGATGTAGTGATTCAAGGGTGGAAGCCCAAAGCCGCAAAGCAAAAGCATCCCTGCATGGGAGAAAGCCACCATCGATGTTCACATGTCGGCGGAAAACATGTGTTTCAGCGTTCAACACGAAGAGTGCCAGCCACAACGCAGCGACCAAACTCGGTGCAGTCCGAGTCTTGAATCCAAAGCCATTGGAAGACTCGGTCCATGGGACCTCGGTCCATGTTCGTTTTGTGTAGCTACAGCTTTGCCAAACATCACACCCACCAAAATAGGGGCCACAGTGCAGGTTTCAACTGCCTTCTCCACCTGCCATCCTCAACCTGAAACACTGCTGCCATGGGCAGCACAGGGTGCTGCCCTGAGGGGTTCAAGCTTTTTCGTGGGCCCTGTGGGAGTTCCCTTGTGCTTCACTAGACCCCAACAATATCAAACAATCAGTCATCTCTGTGCCCATCCCGAGGGACTCGGGACGCCGAGAAAACCAACTGTCGCTGTGCCGTAAAGGCCATTGCTTGCCACGTGGATGGGTGCAATCGAGGGATTTTGCTTGTGAACCCACACAAAGTTGATGCTTTTGCACCGGTTTCTCTCCTTCAAGACGGGTCTCCAAACCGGGTGCCCTGCCAACCCATCGGCTGGGTCGTCGCCCGGTGCGACGGGGCAGACGTGCGCGTAGACTGCCCTGCGCCTTTATCATCCACCAAGAACTTGTTGACACTACCTGCCGGTCCGCAGACACAACACCCCGAACACTCCGAGAGTATGCCCTGGGAGTCAATTTGACGATCAAAAGAATGCTCTCACTAGGTCGCCCGAGTTCAGGACGTTTCGGAGTTGCTTCAGTCGGTCAAAATAGGACGTCGAACTGGACGTCAGTCGGGTACGGCATGTTATAAACGCCCAATGGAGGTCAAGACGTCGGTCGTCGTGTCGACGGGACATTGGAAAGCATTGGAAAGCGCCTGCCTCCGTGTTCAACCGCTGGACGCTTCGACTCAAACCAGAGACCGACGTCGTGTCGTCCCGTTTTTCTGATCAATCGTGTCTGCCGGGCGTCCTCTGAGAAGCGAAGCTTCAAAGTGTCTTGGGTTGCCAAAGTGATGGTGACAGTGATAGCTACGAAACACCTCATTTTGCTCCTTTGGGGTGAGATGAACTATACAGGGCCGAGTTTTTTTTCACAGTGTCCATCTTATGTGAGATGATTGATGTTTGCGTTTTTATTCACTTATCCGATCTTATGCCAGGGAAAAAAATAACCGCAGGGGAGAAGCAAAAGAAGAGGTAGGTGCATCAACTAACATGCATTGCATTGTGTCAAATAAGACAAGAAAACACTCCAATCCAGGGGAATCCAGCAGTGGCTTCTACAGTAAAATAACTTGGGTAGAATTACTCACTCTTTGCAGGGTTTGGTAGCCGTTCTGCAGGAATTCTTCCTTCAAGAGAGGAACAACGATTTTCCTTGTCTCCTGCAATCTCCATGCAACCGGCTCTGACTGCCTCCACTTGTTGATATATTGCACAGCGAGTCTGAAACGAGTTGATTGATGCTTGATACCACCAGCATTCAAACCAACCGATCAAAGGACGATCAAGAAGTGAATCATTTGAACAATCTGAAGAATCACACTAACAACGTAGGTCTTCTTGCTAAACCTCCCGCAATCCTTCGATGGAGAGGCTGAGACAGACCCACGACCGAGATCCCACCGAGATCCCACCGAGATCCCCGATGAGATCCCCAGGAGCCGGACTCTTTCCTGACCTTGGGTCCCAAAGAAGTGGGGACCCTTTTGAACATGTCGTATCATCATGTATCATCATGTATCCTCTGTTCCTTCACTCAGAAGGCAGAGTTTGAAACACAACCATTTACATGGATCCTCCTCCACCACCATCGAGTGTTCGCAAGGTTCCAGCCATCAACGAATCACTTTTTCTTTCCCTGGCTTTGATCCCGGACATCTCCAAGCTGGACACCAAGAAAAGCGACATTGGCCGCCGGTCGCAATCACGGGAAGACTAAGCTATACGATCGGGCTCCTGGCCTTACTACTAGGAGTGACGCTACCATCGGGGCTCCTGGCATCGCTACGGACGTAACAAGAAACTACTAGGTTGGATTCCCCTGCCCGAGCCACCTTCGAAGGCATAGGTAGCTTGTTGCAGCAGTTGGACCACCAGTTGTGTGCGTTCCACGTCCTGGTCTTTGCCAACACCACCAGGATTCAAACCTGGCCACCCCATGCGCACGAGGCTTGATGTTTGTGCGACGGGTCCAAAAATGGTCCAAAAACTGAATGGGAGTCGCTGGCAGGCTGGCAGTGCGTTTGTTCGGCGTTATTTGGATACGTTGGATACACCGTCACTACATATACGTTTTCACTTAATGTTTGATACTTCTAGTTCTCCGTCATATTTCGCAAATTCACTGCCACAGATTGAAGTTATAAGAGGTCTTTTGATGGTGTATAGCGTGAAAGAACCATGTGTGTGTACCAAACAAACAAATCGGAGAAACAAAACAAACAAACGGCGCAAACTCATGCATGGTCTGGACTCTGGACAACCCCATGTCCTCCCAAATGACCTCGCAGGTTGATTGTTTCACGTTTCTCTTCCTGTCCAAAATCACCTCACCTCTGTGATTTGCACTCTGAAACTCCCACATCTGTGATGAAGAGAAGGTCCAAAGACGGTCCAATTCTTGCACCCCAAACGACCCATGGACTGACCGTTGGGACTCGTCCATGCGGAGAACCGCCCGCGCAGTCCCGTCACGGACCTCGGGGAACCGACCTTGAGGAAACCAACAGAACCAACGAAAAATTCCCATGTTTCAATCGAAAAACGCCCAGGGTACTGCGGCTTTGGGACGGAACCATGTTTTCTCCCGAATGCATCGTGAAGGGTTCTCACTTAACTTTGGGACTTTGGGGGTGGAGTCTTGTTCGCGACACGTTGTCATAGCGTTTGTGGAAGAGGTTTTGGATAGAAGCATAGAAGCGAAGTTGCAAATGTGTGTGAAATATTGTGGTGTGAGATCCGTAGTAATAAGGGGGGTCAGGCTCGCCAGTTTTTTCAAAAAGTATTTTTTTTTTGCCGGGGGTCCGCAGTAGTAGTTGCTTTCATTTCGTTTTCATTTCTATATATCCAGACTACCTGCTTGTTACTTATTATTACTACTTAGTGTAACCTTAGAAACATAACATGTTGAAGTGCGGAGGATGATTCTGCTGCGCAGGTGCAGCATTTTGTGCGACCTTCAGTTTCCTTTGCCATGAGAGTGGGATTGGCATTCGCAGGGTGGTCTGTTGGAGGTGTTGGAGGTTGCTGTGGCAGTGGGATATTGCGGTTGAGATTGTTGCCTCGAAACAGCGCTTTCGTGACAAGTCTCAGCTAAAATTGTGATTTTGGTGGCTGTGGGTGTGCTCAGGAAGTGCCGAAATCATTTCAAACGTGTGGTGTGGTGCAAACTTTGCTGAAGACATGAAGATGTCATGTCGTCACTTTTCGTGTACGTGTTGGAGGTGTCGAAGTTGAATTTTCGTGGCAAGCACCAGGAATCGCGCGACGTTTGGTGGAGGTGAATGTCGCTGTGACAGTGGGATTGGTGTGTCGAGGTTGAGTTTTGAGGGGCTGGGATTGGAAACGCTTCACTTTTGAAGCGACCTAACGCTCGTTTTGGAGAGCTGGATGAAGTTTGACTTTTGGAGGAACTCTCGTACGAAACGCTCGTTTTGGCGACTTGACGCGTGACTTGGAGGAAGCCTCGAGAGTGTGCCACAAGATGTTCAACCTGGAAACTGTCAATGACCTCCGCATAAAACAGCATGATTGGCTTCTTGAAATCGTCGCATAACTTCAGGAAACATCCATCCGCCCTGCGATGAAGCGGTTTGGATAAGACTGTGCGCAACTTTCAACTTCCCTTGTAACTTTTGGTATCCGACCGTCCGATCATCTTGGAAAGTGGGATTCTAAATAGATATATATATATATATGGTGTAATGCCTGGAATGTCGCCCCAACAGCATGTCGTCAGCAAGCTGCTTGAGCACAATGCTTGCCAATTGCGTGTGTCCAAATCACAAATGCTGCGTCAATTGCTCGAGCAGTTGAGGCAAAGGTGTCTGATCAACCTGCAGCCATCCAAAGCTTAATTCCGCAGCCGAATATCTGAGCCAGAGATCTTCCAGCTCCTGATGATGGCCGCTCCCTAAATAGGATGTTGAGTCACGGTATTGTCAAAGCGAGGTACAAAGAACATGGGCCTTGTTGGAAACCTTGGTGAGGTGCCGCTGTCGTCAGATTCACTTGTGAACGATTCCGGAGAGCACTGATAGTTCGGTTGACTCCTGGCAACTCTTGGGAAGTTTATATCGACCCGCTGCAGCTTGCTGTGCAGGAGCTTGTGGGGACTTACTGGCTTGTGGTGCAGCAGTCTGTGTGGGTTTGGCCACAGTTGGAGCCTCAGCTGGTGGAGCCACAGGTTGTGTTGTCTGTTTGGTTTTGGCCACAGTTGGTGCAGCCACAGCTGGTGGAGCCACAGGTTGTGTTGTCTTTGGTGCTTGTTCTTGTGGCTTTGCCTCTTGCTGTTGTGGAACAGCCTGTGTTGGCCCTTGCTTTGGCTGTTGGTTTTGAACTGGTTGTGGCCAAGGCCTGGGTCGCTTTTGCTGTACCTTGGAGTTGGTGCCACCTGAGAGCTTCATTCTGACATCTTACATGTGATTATAGTGTGTTTGTCAAATGAGCCTGTACAGGCTGTCAACTAAAAGCTCAATGAAGCATATGCCAAACATTTTTTCATTTGCAACTTAGCTACAAAGCAGTCATCTTTAGCTTCATCACCACCTTGGTTCATAGATCTCTTCTTGTTTTTCTCCTCCACAGTGATGCCACTCCCTGATGGTAGCAATGCCGCCTGATTGACCAAGGTCGCCAAAGTTGAAAACACCAATGTTCAGACCTGTGGTCGATCTCATGTTTGCTGATGCCGTAGGGGCAGTCTGCCATGTCTTGTTGGACTTAAAAGAACTGGCATTCATCAGGTTGTTTCTCATGATCTCGCAATACCCCTGATCCTGGCCCTGTTTCGCCCTTCTTCAGGCCTCAGTCGTCTCTGAATCATTTCTCCAATTTGTTTTGTCGGATAGATATGTTACCGACGCCACATCGACTTAATCTCCGAAACAACCTGTGACTCTTAATGAAGTGACTCTTCACCAGTCGAACTTGACCATGATTTCTGCTCGATGGGCCCCAGCGGCACTGAGCTTGCAGTACCCGTCTTCGCGGACTCGGCAGATGTCACCATGAACCCAAGTCCTGCCAGGAAGAAACTCTCTCGCTTGGAGCGCCGCCTCTTGCAGCTCGGTGATGGCGGTGACAGTAGGGCTTGTCTCTTCTGCCTTGGAGTGGAAACTGGATCTCTCCATGGAGGAAGTGGCAGCGGCCTCTCCACATATGGTGCAACACCGAGAGTGTCCGCCAAGAGTAACCAACAACAGTGCCCTACAAGAGTGTCCCACAAGAGCGCCCCGCAAGAGTGTTTCACGAGACTGTACCACAAGTGTGTCTCCTATAAGAGTGTCCCACAAGAGCGCCCCACAAGAGTGTCCTACAAGAGTGTTTCACGAGACTGTACCACAAGTGTGTCTCCTATAAGAGTGTCCCACATGAGCGTCCCACAAGAGAGTGCCCTGCAAGAGTGTCCAACAAGAGTGTCGCACAAGAGTGTCCCACAAAAGAGTCCCACAAGAGTGCCCCGCAAGAGCGTCTCCTGCAAGAGTGCCTGCAAGAGTTTTACACAAGAGTGTCGCATGAGAGTGTCTGCAAAAGTTTTCCACAAATAAGAGTGTCAAACAATGGTTCGCCGTGTGCTTTCGAGTGCGTGTGTGCATTCGGGTTCGTGGGCTCCATCTAGCTTACTTTTTCATCAGGTGCACCAGCCACAAAACCCCATCTCAAATCCATCCGCGTTGTCCCAACCCGTTGTGAAAACACCTGCTGATCCCTAACCTGCTTTTTCCATCTCGCCCGCCCTTTTTCGGCCTCGGATGGAGAGGAAGATCACGGAGACGCGGCGCATTTCCGGTTCCAGGCCGAGCACCAAAGCCTCCTGAGCGAGGGCGGTGGACATCCGAAACCGAAGGTGGTTGGATGTGGCTGAGCAACCTGGGTAACAGGAGGTAGTTTTGGATGGTTTGGATGTGGTTGGGGACGTTTCAACAAGCATGAGACGGAAAAAACATGCTTTTTGGGGAGGGGAATGCTCCTCCGAGATATGGGTGTGGCCAGAAACCCTGGTATGGATCGTTCCGCGCTGCAGTGAGAGTGATCCAAACCCTGGATCAGAGCGCTGATCCAAGCCCTATGGATCAAACCGACAAGTCACTTGATCCAAGCCCCCAACATGAACACATCTGCATGGTGGCACTTCACCCCACCACTTTCTCACCAATTCACTGTGAAGGTGGTGGCTTCCCAGATCAAAGCCATCCTGTTTGCGGCAAGCTTGTTTTGAAGTTCTGGCCGCTGTGAATTTGGGCTCCACTGTCCACATATTGGGCAATCAGCTGGCCGCGCATATTGGTGACTCAGTGGGCTTTCAAGACATTTAACAGGTGGTGGCTTCAGCTCTGGATTGGAGGCGCACTCCGAAAACTGATTTAGTGGCTGCCGCTAATTCGGTTTGGCCTGAATATTGTGGTCTAGCACCTTCTTTAATATGGGTTAGTTGGGTTGGCTCCTCCACTCAAAGGGTTGCGTAGCCTAAGGGTAAAAGCGTCAGTTTCCAATTCTTCACTTCCACAGTGTGAGGGTTCGAGCCCCGGCTGTGATCACACTGAGTGGCTTCCGGTAATTAATTTTTGGTTGTTTTGGTCGTTAAGGCCCAATGGATCACTTCAATGCCCGGCTTCTGCAAACTTTTTCCCACTCGCACCAGCTCAGGTTTCTGAAGAAGAGGAATCCGACGATGATTCCTCGCTGCTTGCTGCGGCCGCTGTCAAGCCCAGCCTCTCTCTGCGAGCCTTGATGCTTTTCCTTGCCCGTGCCTCCTCTTCTGCACGGAGCTGCTCTAGCAGCGGGCTCCGTCTGGAAGTTGTGCCGGTCTTTGCCCGTCGTTGGGCACTCAAACGACGGGCTAGCAAATCAAAAGGCAAGGGGTCAGACTCGGGTGTGTCTCTCCTGTACGACGCTCTCCAGTCCGAGTCCTGACAAGGCTTGATGGTGGACACAGCAACCCCCAACTCTTTGCCCCCTTGCAACGGGCCAGACAACCTGTCAGAGTAGACGCAAGCCTTCATCCTGACTGGGAAGTTGGAGTTGCCTGTCTGGCGGAAAGAAAGGCAGTATGTATACTCAATCTTCAGATCACCTCCACTGTTGTCCAAATATCGAAAAGTTGGGGGCTTGTCAGGATGAAAATGGACAATCTTGTACTCTGGTCCAGCTGGTGGGGGGTCCAATGTCATGGTGCTCTCGGCACCCTCGCTCAACGCACGAAGCAGCTCGGGCACTGTGCCAATCACACACCTGCTGGCATCGAGTCCAGCCACTTCTTCTGTAGGCCAAACTGTCCATCGTTCCGGCCTTTGCCGTGATGTTCTCCAAAATAGTGAAAAGTGACAGAAGACCATGATGAGTTTTCCAGAAGATCGATGGCAGTCGCCACAAAAGCATATGCTCATAATAGACTATGGCCCACAATCGGACCAGACGGCTCGCAAGCTTCCAAAGTCTGCAGCTCGCCTTTCAAGAGGTTGGAGGCTTTGGCTTCTGCTTCCTTCAGCTCAAGACGGAAGGACCTTGCACTGGGCTGGTTTGAGACTGGAGTGCGTCGCCTGGCAGCCAATGTTGCATCTATATGTTCAACTGCTGTCCGAACATATTGCAAGCTGCATTTTCCGTCGGGGTCAGTTTGACCAGCTGCTTCCCACTCAGCCCACATCTTCTCCAAGGTTGCGAAATAATCTGGTGCGACTTTGGTGATTTGAAGCAAAGCCTCAGAAATCGCCTTGCACACCTTCGGCACAACAAGCTTGTCATACTTGTGGCAAATCGGGCACATGTCCACCTTTTTCTTGAATTTGATGAACTCTGGGTGCTTCTTTTTCAGGTGCTCTTTCCACAAAGATAAACTCATGAGGGTTTGCATGTCTCCACTCAAGCGCCACAACTTTCTCTTAGAGCGAGACAGACACCGGCAGCGCACCAGTGCCCCTTGAATCTTCTTGAAATGAGATGTCTCCTGCGAGTTCTCAAGCAAATAGGCGCGCACTTTGGCTTGAACAGCAGGCTTCGATGGGCGTCCGCCCTTCGCCGTCCCACACTTTGCCCGCTGAGCTCCCATCCACAGGCGCCGACCAAAACGGATTTTCAGCGCCGTTTCAGCGTGGCGCTTGGATCGGAAGACACTGGTGCCAGCTTTCGCAAGGACTCGTTTGGCCATATGCGCGTCCTCAGTGCCTCCATCAGCAGCTACCGCAATGTTACGAGCAACTTCTGCACATTGTTTGTCTGCAGGTCCGTGACATAGCACGCTGCTCTGCGGGCGTCAATAAGCTGAAGAGGTCAGCAACCACCATCTAAGTCAGCCGTCTGGACGGCTGCATCCACCAGCACGGGCTTGCCAGGTTGAGATGCATGCCCTGGCTCCGCCGCGCGCAAGGGAGCGTCACAGAGTCCTGGACGCTTGAAGAATAAAAGGAGAAATGGGCGTTGACTTGGATCTGAAGCACCAAAAATCAGTTGAAGTGTCATGTGAACACTCTGCAGAGCGTGGATCAAGAAAACGGATATAAAAAGGGAAACAAACACAGATGCAAGAAGGCTGTCCTCCTTCAAGGTCTTGCTTAGACATGTCGTGAACTTCCAAGCGCCCCCCCTCACATACACATAGCAGTGGTGAGAAGCTCGTGTGTGCCCAGCAGAAGTGAAGCTCTCCATTTCCTTGCTGGCACTGGTGGACTCAAGTCAAGAACCTTGGCCAGACCTCATGACAAACAATGGTGCAGCCAAAAAAACTTTCTGCTAAAGCGCAAAGTGTCGCAAGCAGCAACCCAGTGCCCGCTCTTGAGCGCCGGCCGCTTCACACCGAAGCTGCATTTCTTCACTCCACACACCGCTGGCGGTGGAGGTGGCTCTGACATGGCAACCACCACAAGGGTCCAGGGCCTGTCGGACGCCTCTCAAAAGCCAAAACGGCTGTCCGTAGTGGCAGTGGCCTCCAAGCCACATGCGATGACCTCCAGCCTGCAAGGATAGCCTCCAACCTACCAGCAATGCTTGTTCCTGGAGAGTTGCATGATGAGGGCAAGGCTCACCCTGAAACTGGTTTAGTGGCTGCCGCTAATTCTATTTGGCCTCACCCTGAAACTGGTTTAGTGGCTGCCGCTAATTCTATTTGGCCTCAATATTGTGTTCTAGCACCTTATTTAATATGGGTTAGTTGGGTTGGCTCCTCCCCTCAAAGGGTTGCATGGCCTAATGGTAAAGGCGTCGGTTTCCAATTCTTCACTTCCACAGTCTGAGGGTTCGCGTCCCGGCTGTGAACACGCTTAGTGGCTTCCGGTAATTAATTTTTGGCTGGAATGGGCAGTCAATTCGAAGTTGAGTCTGGTGGTAATACTGGTGAGTAGCAGTAGCAGCAGCAGTAAAGCTGTTGCAGGCAAAGTAGCAGAAGGAGTGGTGGCAGCAGAGGTGGTTGTAGTAGTGGTTTGTAGTAGTGGTGGTTCGAGTCCCGGCTGTGACCACACTTAGTGGCTTCCGGTAATTAATTTTGGCTGGAATGGGAAGTCAATTTGAAGTTGAGTCTAGTGGCTTCCGCTAAATCTGTGGTGGTGGTAATACTGCTGATAGTAGTGAGTAGCAGTAGCAGCAAGAGTAAAGCTGTTGCGGTAGTAGCAGCAGGTGGCAAGTGCAGTGGCAGTAGCAGTGGTGGCAGCAGAGGTGGTTGTAGTAGTGGTGGTGGTGATCCAAGGGCTTGGATCACACACCCACCTTTTGATCCATACCCCATGGATCGAGGTATGGATCGTGTGTGGGTTTGGGTGTGTGATCCAAGCCTTATGTTTTTGGCCGTAGCCATATGGTCTGCTTTAACATCGTTAGCCAGAGTTGCAAATAAGGACGAGCGGGGATCCGGGGCGGATGATCTTCGGAGCGCACCAACAACGCCAGCTTCGTGTCACATCATATCGCCATCTGACCAACCATGCCCCAAAACTGACTCCCTGAAATTTCCCTGGAAAATAACGGTTGACCCTTTTCTACCTGTTCTATCTCCCGCACACCGAGTCACGATGTGGTATCGTAGACACTCAGGTCTGACCGATACAAACCACTGCACAGGAACGATGCACCTAATTAAGAAACACAAGCCGACACATCGAAGGCCCAGGTAGCAATCTTCTGGCTGCAGCCATCAAGAAGTAACCGTATACCGTAGGCCTCTAGCTCACTAGTCTTGAAAAGAGGGCGGGCACCGTAAATTGATCCCTTCGGGATGGCCCGCCCACATTTGTGAATAAGGGTGGACTCATGTCTACCCGGGAGAAGCCCTTGGTTTGGGCGGTGAAAAACAAAAGAACATGCTTTCTTGACCACTTTGAGCACCTCAGAAAAAGAAGTGTTAGGCGGCGCCACGGATTCCAACGAAAAATGCCTAGCGCAGAACAAAAAGGTCAGTTCAACGTAGGCAACAGAGTCTTCAGGTGTGACCCGCCATTTCAATGAGCGCAAAAAGTCAAGAATCGATTGCGCGTCCCCGACACCGATCTTGTCTCTGACACTGTTGGCAAGATCATCGGAACAATGTGGCCCCCACGAAAACAAGGCAACAGGCGGATCCCATTCCCAAGTGGGAAAGCGGCGGTGCAAGGATTCTGTCTCATCGATAGGTTCAGCATCTTCTTTCGTCTTGAACGATGCAGTTAGCGGCGCTGCCCACCCTATAACTTGATTCAACCGTGCAAGTTCCAGTTGCCTAGAATAAGTGGCCGCACGAAGGCTAGGAAACATCTCCGGGCGAATGGCCGCTTTACTCTAAAGTGCATGTTCGTCAGCAACCGGGTTGCAAATGACATCTTGCTTTGACAAGCCAAATGGAGCAGCATC